GACTATAAGACGAACAACAAAAACCGATTTCAGAATAATGATCGAGACTTGTTTCCACTAATGTTAGATAAACTTTAATCTCAATTCAACTGGTTTATCTTTTTCTAATTCTGAGAACTAGAAAAAGATAAAAAGTAGGTTAAATCAAGATTAAAGTTAGTCTATATTGATAGAAACCATTAAATATCTAAAATAATCTGGTTCTATACAGAGAAAAAAACGTCGATACATAAAAAGAACGTCGATGCTGAGATTTGAGATACGAATTTAAGAGATATTTATTATTCTCCATTACAATGTTTATTCCATCACATAATTCATTCTAAATCTTATTTTTTTAAATATATATATTATCTGGAATGTTTAAATTTTTATACCTCTTTTTACCATAGATTGTGTGACTTCAACTTTCTCGATTTAATGTATTCTTCATTTTTTTCTAATTCTTATTATAAAAAAAATTAAAAACATTGAATTGAAATTAAAGTTAATCTATATAAATAAGAATTTAAATAATAATAAAGGAATATAATAAAATGAAAATGATTAGATAAAAATAAATAAAGTAAAAGTAATTAAATAAATATCAGGATTCCAATTGGGATTCATATTTCATAATTTTCCTAATTTTTTCAAAACATTTTATTTTTAAGATCGTCAAGTAAGATTTGTTTCTGTTTCACATTATAATTAGATAATTGACAATTTCGCAAAAATTATCTAACAGGTTTATTTTTCTCTTTCATCATTTTCTCATAATACGTTATCCAGCCATCAATGCAATATACAGAGTGTTAGTTAATTATGTTATGCCATACTCAACAGAGCGATTCTTTGATTTATCTCAAGTAAAAAAGTCCATATAAACATGTGTCCTAAACGGCTTAGTTTCCGAAATACAGGTGAATGTTCGTGAATGTTTGACGAAAACGGTAAATTGCGGTGGAGATATCTGTCTGCATAAATATGCCTTGCTTGCACGTGAGTTACCATTCGCACAATCATAAACAAAGTGACAAAGTCAAAGTCAAAGCCTCCTAGATCACCAGACTTAAATCCTTTGGATTATTTCCTTTGGGGGCATCTGAAATCATTGATTTATACCACCCCAATTGAGAATGAGAATGATTTGAGGAATCGAATAGTTGCTTCATGCGAGACAATACGTAACACACCTGGTATCTTTGAGAAGAAGGCTCGATGAATGTATCATGGCGCAAGATGGACATTTTCAACAATTCATCTAATTATTTCATTTCATCAGAAGAACTAAAGCCTATTTTGGTTTTTCTGTTTTTGACTAGTTTTGGACTAACTCGAGCAGTATTTCTTTCAAATAGATAAATAGATTATTACACGCTTAAATTTTTTTTATTCCGGAAACTAAGCCGTTTAGAACACACGTTTTTATGGACTTTTTTACTTGAAATAAACCACAGAATCACTCTGCAGAGTATGGCAATATACTTAACTAACACCCTGTATGTATAACATTTTCATGTGCTAAATCGTTGATGTTTATAACAGAAAACAACGGATAATATCACTCTTGCGGTAAGCAAGTTAATAATAACAAGAATAATAACGAGAATAATAATTGGCAACGCGTCAACACGCGGGTGAACAAAGATGACCTTCGAAAATAAGACACCTGTTAAAATCAACCACACGTCTCGCAAGAAAAATATAAGCTCCAAAAATACACTAAATTTTTTTACATGCAACCTTTTTAAATTAAGTCAGTATATTAATAAACATTAACAATTAATAAAAAACTCGATTTTCTCTCTCTCTCTCTCTCTCTCTCTCTTTCACCCTCACCTTTGATCTTCCTCTTTTAGCAACGAAACACAAGAGAGACAGGCAAACTGACGGCACAAGAGTTAGTGCTCCAAATTACCCAATCTTTCTCCTTAATTTGCCCTGTAATTACCGCCTCTACGCGGAAAGGGAGCGAAAGAAGAAAAAAACAGCGTTGACGAGATCTAATTAATCCAAGCTGTCGAGGGTAGGGGGGGGAGAGGGAGCGACTATTAAATGATTAAATTGGTAGGTTAGGTCGGTTCGCGGCGTATCGACCGGCCGCGCCGTATTGACGACAAAATTTGGCGGCTGCCAAAATGGTCGGCGCCGTGTGCACTGTGTCTTTCGCCGTCTTTCTCTCATCTGTCGGGAAGGGAAAAAAATCAGAAAAGAGGGAGCAAGAGAGAGAGAGAAAGACCGCGGCGTGCGAGGGACGACGCGTCTCATCACGTCTCACTTACCACTTCGCTGCATCGTCGTTCCGACGGGGCGTCACAGCGGCTCATCGAGCATAATCCTCCGTGCGTGGGTGACGCGGGTAAACAGCCACCAGCGCGCTTCCTCGCATGCCACACTCGCGAGATGCGACGAGACGCGGCGAGACGCGACCACCGGACGATCGGAGCGGACGCGAGAACGTCGACGCTCCGTAACGCGATACGACCGCACTTTTCAAATATTTCGCGTAGCCAGCCTCTCTCGCACGATTCGAGTGTCGCTGACGCGTGCGCACGAACGACGACCGACGCGACGGCACCGGTTGGCCGTGAGGAAAGATGGCCGACTCACGCGCCGTTCTCAATCCTCGCTTAACGCCACCTGTCGCTGCCTCTCGGAATTAACCGAGTGCCGACGGTGCCGATCATGTGACACTTCCTGGGTGAATCGGTGAACAGTGGTCGACGGTTCTTTGAGGTTGTCATCATTTGGAAACGCGATTATCTTAAATGAATATTTAATCTTTAAAGCCTGATTTGTTATTTTTTCGCTAATTTGTGGTCTAAACTTTTTTAAGTTGCTCACTTAATCTGATAGTAATTAAAAAATTGTTTCTCTAGCAACAGTTAACTGATGCTTTTATGTAATTGTGCGGTAACTTTAAAGTTTATTCATTATACAAAACCATCCGTTTAATGATTGAGTACTAGCTACTAGAAAAATACAATTTATATGTTATTATTAGGTTAGGTTTAATCCAGAGTTGTGTTATATATTTCGATTACGTTTATATAAAGTATTTACGTTAAGCTTACATGAATCTTTTTCATGTAAATTTAATACAAACTGGATAATATCACATTCAGAAAGAAGTAATTAAGTTTTAAAATAGTTAATACACCTGATAAATAAAAATTAATATTAATAAATAAAAATATAAGAGCAAGATAACTTTAATTCAGCCTAATGTAACAAAGAATATAGACTTCAATGATTCTTAGATTGTTTACACAGATGACACATGAAACATATTTACATACTACGTAGTTTTTAAGTTATAACCAGAAAATGAAAAATCAAGCCTTAGTGGATAAGGTAATCGCAATATTTTTTTTAAACCTTATTCTGAAAAAAGAAAACAAAAAATATACTAAAAAAATATATACTTCCAGAAATTTTAAAGTTTATTACTTTTATCTTCCTCTATAATAATATAATTAAACTATAACATGATATGCTGATAACAAATATAACTATAAAATTGAAGTTTCTTAAGAGTGTTTGAAACACCTCATCTATCAACTTGCATATCTTTAAATCACTTTTACCTGATTAAAGAGATTAAAGAGATATTGATAAGCGATTAATTAGTTATGCTTGATTGACATGGACACGTAATCTCGTTACAGGCAATGGGCAGGGCATGTTGCATCTTGGGATGTCCCTCGGGAGGAGATGCCCCATCTCATCAGATTCCCAAGAATCCAGCTCTTTTCCAGAAATGGAAAAGCCTGATTTATTCTGAGAAAATCCAACATATGACCGATGAGCAGATAAGCAAGTGTGCTGTGTGCTATCGGCATTTTGCTGACAATGACTATCTAGTAACTTTCCGAGTGAGAAAGTTGAAACGTGGCGTTGCACCTTCCTTGAACTTGCCAAACAGACCAGATTCTACTGTTATGATTAAAATAGAACCGCAAACATCGGCTGCAAGTAGAGAAACGGTTACTGCAAAAGAAGAGGTGACAGAAATTCCAAGAATGATAGAAGAATTAAAAACAACTCAAATTACATTATTCGAAGATATTCCGGAAGAAATTAAATCCTGCTCGTTTGACCAGCCACAAATTTTATTAGACAAGAATACTGAGCAAACTAATAAAACGGCAGAGACATTTAAGTTAAATCATAGAGAAAGGACATCGAGAAAGAAACGAAAATTAACTGCAAAACAATTGCATCTACTTCAATGTAAACAACAAGCCAAGCAATATGAAAAAACACCTTCGATACAAAAGCTGCTATCTTTTCTCACGCCTGCTGAAATAGGAACTATTAAAACTAGAATACGAAAAGCAAGATATGCCCCAAGAATATATGTAAGAATATATCACAATATTGCACAAAGGAAGGCTTTTGGTCACTTAAAGTTCGTAGAAGATTAATAATTTATTGCAAGTCTTATAGTCAAGAATGGAAAATCAGGATGAAATTCATCTGCTTTGGAATGTCATGAGAAGCAAATCTTATCAAGTATGAATTTATCACATTTATATTAGCAAAAAAGAATTAATTTTGCCATAATAATGAGGAGAATAATATTGTAAGTGCATATATTCTTATATTCAGTATAACTATCCCTCAAAGAGGGATAATTAACTAACATAATTCATGTATTACTTTTTAATAAGAAAAATTCTAATTATGCTAAATATATATTATCCCTTAACACACACCTTTGTGGGTCCTGTTCATTTATTTTCTTTGATTTATATAATATAATATTATATACAATAATTGTGTATAACAATTTATATATAATTTATATACATAAATATACCACTTTCTAAAGATGTCAAAATACACGTAAAAATTATTTAATAATTTTTATATATTTGTAAAAGTGATGAAAATTAATCCAGGACACGAAAGACCATCATATGTAGTAAAGGGTGCGAAAAACTGAGGTGTGTACTAAGAGTTATATACTGCAATATATATTTTTCTTTCATATATAAGGTATTATTTAATTTGTATATTTTTTAAATGACACAATAAAAATATTCAATATTTTAACTATACTCTTATTGCACAATAAAACTGTAATTAATGAGTTCGGCAATTACATACAGATGGAAAAGATTCAAACGGACATGTTGGGTGCAAAGTTTCAATATTATGTCGATACAACGGTAGTTTTACTGTATTTTTAAAAACGAATACATGAAATATACATTTATAATTATATGTATGTATAATTGGTAGAAGGATTGTATTATTCTCTGAATATAGACCTCTGAATTCTATCTTATCGCTAACGGTGTCGCAAAGAGTATCGTAGAACGTATTCTTTCTGAACACATAATCTTGACGGGGATTATTCGGTTGAGCACTTTACTCGCCGGTGACGAATACTTTTACTACGCGAGAGAATCTCTATACTTTCATTAATAGAGATTTGCCGTTTAGGAAACGCGCTGATATATATTGATTTGTGCGTAACCGATTTCGGGGAGAGAAGTGAGAGTGGGAAACAGGAATAAATTCGAATTAGTACAAATAAGTAGTATATAGGTAGCCTCTTTAGGATCGGTTCACCTATGCAGTGTTCCCGAGCATAACATACATCCATGTTTGACGAATTACGTTGAAAAATATTTTCGTTTAACATGTAATCTCTATACATCTTATCGATTTATTTTGGAGGTGCTAGATGCTTATATGCACATATGTTACGTGCAATTGATGTAAGGTACGGTGTTTTACTCTTTTTTTTTCCTCTACGCTCACTAATTACGAAATTGCAATATAGAATATACGCGCTCGATTCTACGACCGATCTTAAAGAGTTCGTCTTTCGTGATTAAGAAATACTTTTCCTTTAATCACATAATTATTATCTACAATTCTGGAGTGTCTCAATTTAAAATTTTCTTCGCATCGTTGATTTTTTCCGTTGAATTTGATAGTTTCGAATTTAAGAGACGTGCTAATAATAGATAAAATATATTATTTTTGAGAGGCGAGAGTCGATAGAAAATTTCTTACATTTTCGTCATTTATTTCAAAATCGTCATTTTATAATAATTTGTCATCAGTTAATTTAAGCTTTCGGTTAAAATTGGAAATTTTTAAATCTGAAACGTGTTCTTTTCACTATCGATTCAATACAGTAAATATTTTGTGTTGGAAACGGTCCACTCAAATTCATGTCAAAATTTTGTGAATTTTTTGAATTTTTAACATATTCGAATATTAATTTAATATAATCTGCAGATCACATGATTATGTTATTTAAATACTTTGTATTAAATTAATATCCAACATTTTTAGCGTTAAAATAACATTTTAATAAATAACATAAAAATAATGTATTTTAAAACGTAAATTCTAAGATGAATAAATAAAATATGTTAAGGATAATGTTAATTTTTAACAAACAAAATATATTAGGATTTGTTATTTTTTAACATATCCTAAATATTAATTTTACTGAAAAAAAGTTTCTATGATTTGTTTACAAACTAAGTCAGTATTCCTTTTTTTGTGCTTATTTTTTTAAATAATATACCTTTTAACATATTCATCTTGTGTTAACAAAAAATGTAAGTTAACACAAAAATTTGAGTGAATCGTTTGAGACACGTAAAATATGAAATTTAGTACAAGTTTTCCAACAGTGAATCAACATGCTGAAGTTATATAATCACCGGCTCGCGTAGCGTCTTATAATTAAGTAACTAATAATTAAGTAAATAATAGACAGACGAGAGTCTTTTTGGTTGACAAGTAGAAAAAGATGAATCAAGAGAAGATATTAGGCCTGTTCTTTTTAGCTGAACTTTTTGTATTAATCATCTTCCTCGTTTTCCCGGTAAGGAGAAAAAGAGGAAAAATGAATGGTACAAGTTCAGCTGAGAGAGAAGAACACACCTTTAATCAACTCTGATAGATGAGAAATCTATCTACCGCGGCAAAAACCGAGGTCATTCTTTGAAATCCATAAATGAGAATCATATCTCCTGTACGAAATTTGTGAGAGAGGCATCCGAAGAGAAAGTGCAGAAACGAACGGAGCATCCGTAATGTACCATAACGGCGCGTTTATTCCGTGTTTAGGCCGTACTTTTTAGGCCTTGCGAAATGGGTTGATTTTCGTTTCCCTAAAATAGCACTTTGAATTACGTGCTTCTAAATATTCATCTGGACTGACTTGGCCGTTTATACAAACGATTCGATAAATAAACGCGCCTTTGCACGGGAGCAGTTTATGCGTTTAGTGATGCTCGTGATCGATAGAATCGATAGGTACGCGGCTGCTCCTCTCGAAACGTGTGCGTTTGGACGAGCTACGAGTGCCGATCAACATCGGAGTGTTTACTAATTTGATTGTATGTCGCTGGCGCGATGTTGACCGACTCCAGGCATTACGTATTCCCGGCAATGTGGAACAAGACGAGTGGAACAGTCGAATCGAGAAATAGAAAATAGAATAGAATTAATATCGAAATAATTTATTAAAATTTAGAAACAAAAATATGATCTAAAAGCTATCCTGATCGCGCAGATCAGAAAAAGAAAGATACATCCTACATCGATTCTCCATCTTCTTCAAATAAATTTTCTAAATTGTATACGAATCCGATTTAAATTATGCGACGTAAAAGTAATGACTGCTTTAAGTAGAAAAAGTAGCAACAGTTGTAAAATTTTTGTAAAATTAATAATATATTCGATATAAATATGTAAAAGTATATTTAAACATTATAAATAGTGATAAATAATATGGCATAAAATGTTATAATAATAAAAAAAAAGTACGAAAAAAGAGGGATACCCTACATCGATTCTCTATCTTCTTCAAATAAATTTTCTAAATTGTATACGAATCCAATTTAAATTATGCGACGTAAAAGTAATGACTGCTTTAAGTAGAAAAAGTATATAGAAACAGTTGTAAAATTAATAGTATATTTGATAGAAATATATAAAAATATATTTAAACATTATAAATAATAATAAATAATATAGCGTAAAATATTATAATGATAAAAAAGTACGAAAAAAGAGGGATACTCTGTATTGATCTTCTATTTTTTTCAAATAAATTTTTTAAATGTACGAATTCGATTTAAAT